TCACCACAGACCTAATTAGGGGCTGCATTAGACTGTGATCACATCCTTATGTATTGAGATCTCATGTATTAAGGGATAATACTTCTTAAGGGGTTAGGTCATTTGTAGATAAATATCAGAATTCATGGAAAAGCAACTACATATTCCACCCAAGCCAGGGCATTCCTGAGACAGCCTCATCAAATCTCTCTCCAGCTGGGCAGTTAATCTCTGTTATCTCTCTTTGGCAAGACAAGGTCCCCAAATTTTGTCTCTGATTTCTAATTAAAGAAATCAATGCAGGAAAACCAACTTGCAAATCACTTTTGTTACCTACAATCACTGCTCCACTATAAACTGGATGATACACAGTGAGACACACTTTGGTGACAATGACAGTCTACTGGCAGGAGAAAAGACAGAGCAATGGTTCCCTCCTTAACGACACCTGACCTGGAAGGAGTTTTTTAGAAGAGTCCCTGGAATTAAAAACCTAAGAAATTTGTTGGAGGATGCTAAAATACAGTACTGGTACTGCTGGATTAGAACACCTCACCTGGGTTCAAATCCCAAATCTCTTTGGATCAGATCCTCCTTGTAGGACCTTGGGAAAGTTACTCATCCACTCAGCTTCTGTATCTTTATCCATAAAATGGAATTAACACCAATCCCAAAGGATTAGTCTAAGAATTAATGAGCAAATATATTTCAAATTCCCAGTCCATAAGTAAGCAACTCAGTTAAGTGGCATTTACTAAATGTGATTTTCATTCAGTCAAAATACAACTGGAAAGGGAAAAAACCTTGAACTCATAACAGACATCACTGTTACCTGCTTCGAGTCACATCTTTAAATCCACAAACCAAGCTGTAGCCATCTCAGCTGAAAACCCTCATCTCATCAGAGTCTTCACCCAGTAAATGCAGAAAAATTACAATGAGGGTTTCCTGGAGATCCAATTCCTTAAGGCAAATATGTGCATCCTCTTTTTTTATTCCTTTGTCAATTTCCAAATATCCACTGCTACTCATATTTATACAAAACACTAGTGAGGCAGTTCCTGAAGGAAAATACACTGATACTATTGGTTACTACTTTTTTACATTATCTATGATTTAAACCATCCTAACAACCAAGCCCAAAGCACTGAAAAATCCACTGATTTAAATGAATATTCAAATAAGCAGATGAAACTTTACAGCCTCAGGGAAGGCAGTCCCCAGCCAGGCTTACCCTAGTGAGAAGAAAGACAAATGCTACTCTTTCAGGTCAATTTGCAAACTATTGAAAACTCTGAGGGAAAAGTGGGAGCACACAGAGGCCCTTTGCTCCCAACTCTCCTTTTTCTAGGGGAGCCCTGTGGTTCCTGGCTTCATCCCCCTAAAAGCCAGTCTAGGGGCCCAGAAGTCTCAAGGAGCGAATGAATCCTTGGCTCAGGTCCCTCAACTACTGGGGGAGGGGAAGGGCAGGAGGCCAGCATTTAGAAGTATTCATAATTTAGCAGAGTTACCAGGTAACCAGGATCCCACCAGAAATATGCCTCTTCTTGCCAAGGATCTGATTCCACATGGCTGGGCAACTGCTTCCTTCCCTCTGCTCCCAGGCTCAGTCCAGCCCCCGGTTCAGACCCCAGCAGTCCCCTCAAGGCACTTGACTTGCTCTAGCGCTAAAGCTCTTACCCCAGTCACACAGGGCCAGGTATCCATTCCCTCCAATGCAGGCTGGTTGGAATCCAGGATGAGTAAGCTGTGGCTTCACAAAAGCCTCAATTTCTCTAGAGAGTTTCAAGCTTGCTGCCCATCCCCAAATGCCCTGAGAAGGTCTTGGCAGTAAGCTTCCTCACCTTCTTCCACCACCACTTCCAGCTGTCCTCAATCTTTCCCAAGCCTGCCTCGGGGGGGCTTCAAGTGTTTCTCACTAAAACTATTAAGTCAGCTGGAGTCCATGGCTGATCTGAGCCTGCAGTTCACAAGAAGCACCAGCTAACACCACTGATAACAGAGAAGCAGCTAGCCTAACTGAAAGCTCACTAACCAGCCAGAGCCCCATGTAACTTGTAATAATCTCTTTTAGGAGATGCTGTCACTTGCCCATGGAAGAACTGAGGCCCAGAGTTAAAGTGACCAGCACCAAGTCGCAGCCAACAGATGGTGAAGCCAGGATGTGACCCCAGGTATCTAACCAGAATATCATAACCTCTGCACTGGCCGCATACTCCCAGCCACTCTCTAAAAACTTCTCCTTTCACTGGAGTGCTAGAGAAGAGAATCACAAATAAGGCCCACAACCATCATCAGGTGCTGGGGCTGTGTCCAAACAACATGGGTGAACCTTATCCTTCCACCCCCATCCCTCAACATTTGCTTCCACCTGCCATCAGCATCCCTCCTGAGTGGCTTGGGCAAGCTGATGACAATATGCAAAAGTGAAAATTAAGGTCCTCATGTTGTCCAGGCTGCACCGACGCACTAGCCAGGCTAATGTGCTTACTGATTTGTTCGGTGTAGATTCATTCTCATTACTGGGAAAAAACCAGTGCATAGCTGAGGAATATGCATGTTCACGTGCCAGGTGACTGGACCACAAATCTGTTTCTCCAGAGAAGCACTTTTCAAGGCAGAGATTGGAGAGGGATGTTCAACTTCTCAAGGAGCTTTGAAAAAGATAAGCCACCACCTGTCATCCAAAAGACACATAAACAAAAGACCCAGATCTTATAAGATCTAGAGAGCTAAGGAAGGAGCAGGAAGTAGTGATTAACTTCCGAACTTTTTTTTTTGTGTGTGTGGGACCGTCGCTGGCGGCCGGGGAACGAACCAGCGCTGCAGAGGCTGCGGGCAGCCTCGCAGCCCAGCGCTCAACCGCTGCGCCACCAGGGGAGGCTCCTAACTTCTGAAATTCTAGGGCCAGTAGCAAGCACCAACCACCTTTTGTTCTGAGCAATGCAGTTATGGTTAAGAGATAATATTCCAACCTCCAAAGAGTCATTTAGAGAAGAGGTGAGGGGAGAGACAGACAAAGGCCGATAGAACAAAGAGGGAGGATAGAAAAGAGAGAAGTCCTGGAGGAGCCTTTTATGACACTGTGACAGAAAAAAAATGGGGTACCTGGTTGTAGCAGCAGGAAAAGTGCAGTGCAGGAGCTCTATAATTCTATGCAGATGGGGTGAAGGAGAACTCCAAGAGTCCTCAGGGGCTTTTCAGGCTTTTATTGGGATTTACCAGGTACACAGCAGGCAGGGGTGCTGGGAGGCTGGCAGGCCTCCCAGCGCCCAGCAAGTCTTCACTCTACCTGGGCTCTCCGGCGTTGTCTGGTGGCCTTGTTCTCTGCTGCTCTCGTGGTTCTCTCTGCTCTAATCTACTGGCAACCCCGTGACACTGTCCATAGAAACCCAGTCTCAGCACAGGTGAATCCACTTAAGCATGCCCACACCCTACTCCAGGTGCCCGCCATCAGGCATGCATTCAGGACCACAAGGATCCATCATCAATCCTAAAGGCGGAGGGCAGAAAAGCCTGATACTTTACTTACCCTACACTGGTGCAAGGGCTCAGGTCTTAAGGGGAAGGGCTGGAGAAAAAGCTCTTCCCTCTGCCCTTCGAGCATAAGCTCCAACCATGGCAAAAAACAATAGGTCTCTCCCATCAGGGGCTGTTTAGGGGACTTGAGACAAACACAAATGAAAAAAACAAACAAGAGTCAACTTGTAGCAGGCACAATAGTGGCCTCCTGTAGGGTAAGGAAAAACGTCAGGCTTTTCTGCCCTCCCGCCATCAGGATAGATGATGGATCCTTGCGGTCCTGATTGCATGCCTGATGGCGGGCACCTGGAGTAGGGTGTGGGCATAGGTAGATGGGATTCACCTGGGCTAAGACTGGGCTTTTTTAAGGGCGGCGTCAGAGGGACGACAGCAGAAGCTGAGAGAGAAGCAAGGAAGCAGAAACAGAGATCACCGGAGAGCCCAGATAGAGTGAGGATTTGCTGGGGGCTGGGAGGACTGCCAGCCTCCCGGCCCCCCAGCACCCCTGCCTGCCATATGCCTGGTGAACCCCAATAAAAGACCTGCAAAAACCCACTGAGGACTCTGACTCCTTTACCCGGTCTGCTGGATCAGAAAACCTGCACTGTAGCCTTGTTCCTGTCCCTACACTGGGGAAACAAACAGGGTCTCCCCTAGAATCTCCAACAAATGCAAGTCTGCTAACACCTTGATTGGAACCCAAAGATCTACTTTACAAGTATAATCTCCAGAACTATAAAATAATAAATTTTGGTTGTCTTAAGCCATCAAGCCTGTAACAATTTGACAGTAACAACAGGAAACTAATGCTCCATCTGTACAATGGTCAGATAGACAATTTGTACCAGGGAATCCATAGTTATTGCACTAGCAACTAAGTGGTATCTGTTCCAGCCACCATTTACTACCCGCTTGCAAAATCCCCAGTGCCTTGCTAAATAATTCACAAACATTTTTTAAAATACACTGTTTGGGGCCTCCCTGGTAGTGCAGTGGTTAAAGTCTAAGCACTATCAAGCTATTTATTACCAGCCACTGTGCATGAGCTCAATCCCCAATCAGGGATCTAACCCACATGGTGCAACAGACCTCTCCTGTCTGGCCTGCTGCTCTCCTCAGCATTGTATTTCAGTAGATCTGCCTGTTCTGCTCCCCACTGTCTCTGGTGAATCCTCTCACCCCCACACCTCTGGCCTACACCCCAGTTCTTGTATGCATAAATAAGTCTTTTTAAAAATACACTGTTTTGAATGGATTTAGATTTGCTGAAAAGTTGCATACTCTTCATCTAGTTTTCCTACTGTTAACATCTTACACAACCTTTATGCATGTCAAAATTGAGATTTTAGCACCCCCACAAAACTGTTTACTGCATTATAAAGTTTGTTTGGACTCCACCACTTTTCACAAGTATTTTAACTTCCCAAGGACCCTAGAAATAAATGTTTCCCTGGTCCCGGTGTCATAAAGAATGACACTGACATTGAAGATTCAATCACCTGCTTGCTCCTGGTCACAACCATGAAGACTAGCAAGGCTTTTGAACTTGATTCTGCTGCTTTACCCTGACATCTTTATCCCTTCCCTTGAGGCTATCATCCCTGTAAGAGAAAAAAAAAAAAAAAAAAAACATGAGAAGCTACTTAGTAGGAACAGCATCAAAATGGGATTTGTCTGACACTGACAGCCTTGCTCTGCAATACCACCCTCTTCCTGCCTTGCAGAGATGAGGGGCTTCTGGGGTCCATGCAAACCTGCAGTGTCTGTGATGCGTGGGAATGGATTCACGCTCCTGGAAATTGCCTATCTTTTTTAGGGCCACTGGTAAACCTAAGAGCTTTCTTCTGGTTCTGAGTGAGCCGAAATGAACTCACCAGGGCCCGCTAAAGAGCCCTTTACAAGGAGGATTTCTAGAAGGAACCATAGCAGGCGTTGCAGTCAATGACTATACAAAATCTACTTCAGGCCTTGCTTTGGAGCCTTTACAACATGACTACAACACGGTCCTTTAAATCAATCTTATCCTGGAGGATCCTGCACCTGAAATCTTTCTAGCTCCTAGATTAAACCACCTGAGCAACGAAAAGTAGGAAGAAGAGTTTTTCCCAAACGAGGTAACAACTTCACACAAAACACACAGCGGGACAGCACTAGGACACACTCATCTCCATCATCCAAAAGAGCCACCAAGTCCACTTTTCAGCCTTCTTTTCTCCCGTGGCATTCTGTGATGCAGGAGGCCCCCAGGCAATGCTGCTTTGCTGTCTCTGTGCTTCCACCAGTGGTTCCCAAAGCATGGCCCAAACCAGCAGCACAAGCATCACCTGGGAACTTTTTAGAGATGCAAATGCTCGGTCCCTTCCAGACCTACAGAATCAGAAACTTGGTGAATGGGTCCAATGACCTGTTTTTTAACAAGCCCTCCGCGTGTTTCTGATGCACGCAGTTTGCGAATCACCAAGCTATAAATTTCCTCTCCTCCCCATGGCTGACCTATTGTGTAGAAATATATTTGGAAAGTTCTCTGCAAGTAAACACTATGCACAGTAACTGTGGGCCCAGGAGAAGCCCACAGGGGAAGCAACATTCACTCATCACATAGGAAGCAGGATAGCAAGGCCTGTGCAATGCACTATGTGCTTAGGGCCCATCCTGGCTTCATGGAACTTAAAGTATAAGAAAGTTTAAAGATACCAACAAGGCAAACTTACAAATGAATGCAGAATTACAAACCACAGCAAACACTGCAAAAGAAATGAACAGGGAGGGGCAAAAGAGAAGGATGAGGAACTTCTTTTACCTGGGTGGTGGAGGGAGCCATCCTGAGGAAGGGAAATGAAGCTGAGATGAAGGAGAGCAGGTATTTTGCAACCATCCCAGGCCAGGTAGGTTCACTGCTAGTTGTAGCAATTTGAAGGAGAATTTCACAGGTCTTAACAGTAAGCAGAGGAAACAAGCCAGCAGCGAGACAGCAACTTGAGCCCCCTGCGAATCTCTATATACGCTTTTCTGTGGCGTTCTCGCGTGGTCTCCTCCTCTCGTAGCCCTGTGCTGTAGCGTTTTCCTGTCTCTGAGTGATGCGGCCCTTACAGCCTCAGGCCCAGATGCACGCACTTATGCACGCCCACACCATAATCCAGGTGTTCACAATCAGGCACATGTGCCCCGCCCACACTCCCAAGCGCCTTCTGCATCAAGGCCACAGGTGATGGCCACAGAGGCCAGCGGCGTAAAAAGCCTGACTATTTCATTTACCCTACAGCATGCATTAGCCAGGAAAAGGGGGCAGGAAATAAATATTCTCAATAGAATAAAAGCTTGTGCAAAGGCCGTGGTGCAGAAGAGTTGCTTCTTCAAAGATGTTGAAAAATGCTACTGTACAGGTAGAAGACAGAAGGGGTGGAAGGGATAATGGAGAGATAGGGTTCCAGAAGGTGCCCAGCCTCTGCACCTCATGGGCTGGTTAAGAGTCTGCGCTGGCGTCTAAGCTTATAAAGATGCCCCTGAATTTTAGGCAGATGTTTGACAATGAAAATAACAGCCAACATTTATTCATCACTTACTGTCACTATATACATCAGGCACTGTTCTAAGTGCTCCACATAAAAATGTACAGCTTATATTTTTTTCGATTATCACCAGCTTCTCCACTTTACAGAGGAAAGAAGCGGCACCAAGTCACCCGGCTGGTACAGGATCAGTACCCTATCAGATCAACTTCAGAACCCAAGGACCTCAACCACCTTGCTACACTGCCTCTGAGTAGGGGAGAGAAGCAGCAGTAGATGCGCGGCAAGCAATGATCTGTTTTGCATTTTCAAAAGCTGGCTGTGGATGCTGTGTCGAAGGAGAGGAGAGAATACAAGCAGAGGCTACCGCACTATCCGAGCAGCAGGAAGCTGTGGCCTGGGCCAGAAGGGTGGCAGTAGAGATATCCAAGCAAGAGAAATGTTTGAATGGCAGAGAATGAGTGGCTCTGCCAGGGGCCATTTAACAGATTCTAGAACTTCGGAACAGCATTGGTACATCCTAATCCACTCCCTGCATCTTTCATCTGAGAACCAGAATGAGAACTAAAAAGGGGGCTCCTTTCCCTGCACAAATAACCAAAACACAGGGCTGTCACTGTAACTGAAATATCATCCTTGACCTCTTCAATCCCAGTCATTGTTTTTAAAGTCAGAATTTGGAGGCAAGTCTGCACCTTGTTTAGAATGGATGTTGTTATCCACAGGAAAAGCCATGAATGGCCAAGACACCTCCCAGTACCCTCATAAACACTGTTCATATTCAAACTTACAGGAAAGAGAAGCTTTCAGCTAGTAATCTGAAAGCAGAATTTCTTTTCATTACCCTGACTGTCCCACAGCTTGTGACAAAGAGTATGACAGCACATCTGTCAGAGAGGCTTGCATTTGGAGCAAAGTCCAACCTGCAACTTGTTTCCCACCTAAGACTTGCTAAAACAGCAAGGGCCCTGGAGAGGCCAGGCATTCAACCATTTCCTTCAGCTAGATTTAGAGTGAGCGGTGAAGTTATCTGACTTTACATTAAAAGGGTCACCCCAGTCATCTCACTGGGCCTGAGAATCAAAGCCACCGACTGAGATCTGTGTTGGCAGTGGGGACACCATTAGTGGGGACACTACCGACTAATGGAGCCTCTGGCTTCTCATCTCATCAGGGACCACCTGGCTTCCATTTCCCCTAGATGAGTCTTGCTTTTGCTCTCTGACCTGCATGTCTGGGTGCAGCGTGGACAAGCCAGATGAGTCTGGCAGGCCTCCTGAGGACAGGGAGGGAGTGGTGGGCATGGAAGGACCATCTCGTATGCAGACCAGTGACAATCCCACTCATTACTACAGCTGTGAAAAGGCCATGGGGGTTTCAGAGTTTGGAAAGACTTTGTCTTAGAAGATTGTAGAAGTGCCCCATCTGAAACTCTCTCTTGAATACTTCCGATTTCCCACCACTCATTTATCCCAAAATCCTCATCCTTAAACTCACTGTCATAATTGGCCATAAAGTCTCTATATTCAAACCTGAAACTTTAAAGCCTGGTAAGTGAAAACGGCTATGTCTTCCTCTGATTTACAAAAGTATTAAATTAACCAGCTCCTGTTTAACAAGAATTCTCATACATTTTCCCCATAGGGTGAGGAATCTTAAAAAGAGCTCCAGCCCTGCCAGTGGCCCATTTGAAGGGGTCAAGAAGTTTCAAATGATGGAGAAAGAAAAGGGAAAGAAGGGGAAGGAGAACCCATCTCTCTGGGCCTGACCCCCATAGAACGGGCCCAGAGGGCTCTTCCCTCTCCAAGGAACAGAAGCAGGAGCAACTAGGCCACACAGCAAACTCTCTAAGAAGTGCCATATTCTGCTATGAGCAAATTGTCCTCAAGTGGCTGTAAGACACTGAGTGAGTGGTTTAATCACCCAGCAGGGTCTAGTATATAACACATAAAACTCCTCTGAGACAGCCAGCCTGTAAATGGAAAACATTATCATTTGTAACAGGATTAATAACAACACAGGCTTGAAACAAGCAGACATCACTGGATTAGTTTTCTAACCTCTTCGGGGAGACCACCGAGTTCGATGGAGGAGTTTTTTTCCCGTTTTTAAACAAGACAGCATCTCCCACCAAGTGACAGCAGGATCCCTCTCCAAAGAAATTACTTCTTGTGCATCTGTCCTGTCAATGACAAGTGGCCTGAAGTACAGGCATCAAAACAAAATAAACCAAAAGAAAAGAAGTCTGGAAAAATGTCCAGAAGGAATTTGATTTTCAAAAACAGATCAAAGATCTCCTGGGTGAGCCTCAGCCCCTTATAAAAAGATTACAGGGTCAAAATATCATGTCATAGGGTTTCCTAAGCTATATTTCTTGAACCACCTGGGTGTTGATTAAAAAGATGGCCTCCATGCCCCTCGAGCAATCCAAAATCTGCCCTTTTAAAAAGCTCCTTCCTTCTTAAACAACTGAAGTTGGAAAAACACTGCCCTATTTTGTTAATGCACTGCTGATATAGCCATGAAGTCTGAGAATGACTTTTTTTTAAAACTAAAGTCTCCAGGGGCCTCCCTGGTGGCACAAGGGGTTAAGTCGCAGCACTGTGAAGCTATCAGCAGCCACCCACTGCAGCACGAATTTAATCCCACGCCTGGGAGATGACCCACATGGCGCGGCAGACCTCTCCTGTCTCGCCCACTGCTCCCCTCAGCAGTGTATTTCAGTCAGTCTGCCTGTTCTGTTCCCCGCTCTGTCTCTGGTGAATCCTCTCACCTCCCGCATCTCTGACATATACCCAGTTCTTGCATGAATAAATAAATAAATCTTAAAAAAAATAAAGTCTCCATCATATCTGCAGGTAACTTGGAGATAAAATATAGTTCACTACATTCATCAGCCAAGTCTCTGCACCACCAAATCTTTAGACCACTATTTAAAAAATCAAAAAGGACATTGTTATTTTTATATTTACTTCCTTTCTTTCCTTTGCTGAAGTATCTATGAATTAGCAATGACCCTAAAGGTCAACACCTGGCAATGGGAAGCAGAGCTGCCCCAGGGTGGGGAGTGGACTCTGTACTTAACAAGCACCTCCTGGCAGGTTCTCCTCTGGTGCGCTAGCTACCCCATAATCATGCAAATGGAGCCACACTCCAAACTTGAATCTTTCCTGTATTTCAGAAGGCATAGGAGTAACAGGAATCAAAGAGTACAGTACATGGAGGAGTAGGATGAAGATTTGCAAGAGCCCAATTCCCAGTAGCCTCAGATACAATAGTCACATAGCCTCACAGAGACACAACAAGGGGGGGTGAAACAAAAGATAGACTTTTTTTTTTTTAATTTATTTATTCATGCATACACGAGCACAGGCCAGAGATGCAGAGGGTGGTAAGAACATCCACCGGAGACAGAGTGGGGAGCAGAACATGCAGATCGGCCGAAATACAATGCTGAGGGGAGCAGCGGGCAAGTCAGGAGAGGTCTGCCTCACCATGTGGGCCTCTCCCTGGCCGGGCATCGAACTCGTGCTGCAGAGGCTATGGATTGCTTCATAGTGCGGTGCTTAACCCCTTGCGCCACCAGGGAAGCCCAACAAAAGATAGTCTTTATGGAACTTTGAACTGCTATCCTATTACCAGAACGCACCCCCCTTGTGAAGTCTCCTTGTTTTCATAACCCCTAAAATTATCTTGTGAAAAGCATGATTAGGTTATAATATATTTCTTTGTGGTTTTTTTTCAACAGTCAGTTCTTATACATAAACATTTAAAATTCTCTATTGGGCCTCCCCTGGTGGCGCAGCGGTTGAGCGCTGGGCTGTGAAACTGCCCGCAGCCTCTGCAGCACCGGTTCGATCCCCGGCCGCTGGCGAGGGTCCCACATGGCGCCACAGACCTCTCCTGCTGCGCCCACTGCTCCCCTCAGCAGTGTATTTCATCGGTCTGCCTGTTCTGTTCCCCGCTCTGGCTCTGGTGAATTCTCTCACCCTCCCGTGCTTCTGACTGTACCCAGCGCTTGTATAAATAAATAATAAAAAAACAAAAAAAAAATAAAGAAATAAAAAAAAAATAAAATTCTCTATGGTGTTTCTAATCCCAAGCTCTGCATCTTCTCACTTCTAACACTTTCTAAGAAGGACCAAATGGTGAGAACAACCTGCTCTTCTCCTGAGCTCTGAGAAGCTGACCTGCAGAGCAGTTGGTGAGGTTCCTCCAGCATCAGCGTGGTCTTAGAGCTACCAGGGATGACATTCCCTCTGCTGGACCTCCATGTCCTTGGTGCCCTGTCCAGTGGCAGCCATGAACTAGGGGAGAGTTTACACGGAGAACTTCTCAACATGGACATTGAGAGTCAGGTTTCAGAAAAATATGATATTTTGATGAAAAATTTTTTTCTTAGGTGGTGCCTCGCTTCCTCTTTCTCTCTTTGCCTCAATGGTCTTGCTGGTATGTAAGAGAGGCATGAACAAGCCGTCATCCAAACCCTAAGAAGCAATAGGAAGAAGAGAATACTTGCTCTACACCATCTCACGCTCAGCACTATGAGCACGTGATGCCTATCTGGTTAGTCTGTCCTGCGGCCATGCTTTCCTGGCCCTATTCTGTACCTTGAAATCTGATACCAATGACCTAGCCCCCTGACTCCGCTTACCTGCTCACTTGCCTGCTCACTTCCCATTGGTTCATCCAACCAGAGGCTGAGGAGGGGAATGGAGACAGGAGGTCAGAGGTCAGGGTATTTCTTCCCAAATCCCGTTTTCATTGGTTGCCACATCTTTGGACTCTATTCTCTTTGACAAAAGCTCCTGCTGGGTGGCCACTGTCTGGTTCCAAATCTCACTGGCAATCATGCTAGTGATTCCACTTTTCCCCGTCCCTTTCAGGCCTAGGAAAGGTAGTGGTTTCCCACTGCTGTTGTCGTTGGGTGCCTTGCTGCTTCTCAAATTTGCCAGCACCCCTGTAAATCTTCCTTGCTTTAGTCTTCATTCAAATTATCTGGGGAATTCTGTTCTGTGCCAGGAGCTCAGATACTGGCTCTCACTCTAAACATAATTACTTTGCAAGTGAAATGAAATCCATTGCATTAGTAAGATTTTGTTAAGCTAGTACAAGTAGTTAACAAGGGCTGACAAGGCTAATACACCATCAGCCTTGAACCCAACTCCTTATCTAACCAGGTAACAGAAATCCTGAGACATAAAGCATTTCAAAACAAAATTTTGTACTATGATTTGTCACATGTTTTTAAACTGTGATAAGGTAAATGTGTGTTTCTTTATTAATATACCAAGTCACAAGGTCTAAAGTCAGCGCTGTTATTTACTACCACCTGGAAGTACTGATGAGTATAAATAATATGTGAAGATATCTACAACAGCTATGTATCTACAACAGCTATGTATCTACAACAGCTAATGTAGTAAGGATTTATTGGAAGTCTGGATACTTCTACTATTTTGGCTTGTTGCCTGTATTCATGACTGAAGAAAATGCCAGATTTCAGCTAGAATTCAGGATGTAAAAAGGTGGACTTTTTTCCCATTCAAAGTTCACAGATTCCGAGGTACAAAGGGAGGTTTAGAGGGTGCTGTTAGAGAGTATTTCCAAAACTTGCTTATCCAAATGCGGCTCTACCAAATGTGGTTCTACCAACATTGCAAAAAAGAGGAAGGGAAAAAGCAACTTCTACTTCATTTCATATTATTTTCTTATAGAGGCTCTTCCTTTTTTTTAAGTAACTAAATCTATAATGTTCTTCCAGACATGAAAAATGCCCATTTCCTGAAAACTAATGACACTGTATATTTTAATTACAGCATATTTTTCAAGGACCACTTCATGTGAAAAGGTCTGTTTTTTCCACTAAAAAGACTCAACTGTTTTATCTTCCTCAAGACATCCATCACATGAGTGCCAATATCTTAGGATTTAAAAGGAGAGGTTTTTTTAAAAACTTTCTAAGTGTTTAATCAATAGGCTCCTTTTCATACAGTGCCACACTCCCTGCATAGATTCTTTAATCTGAATTTAAAATAGCATTCACCATGTAGTAAGTGGCCACTATACCTAGGTACAGCACCAGGTTATCTTCCTGAATTAGTTCTAATGCTCACACCCATACTGTGCTATTGTTCCAACTTACTGACACAGAAATAAAATGACTAGCAACTCCAAGTAGAGCCTGGTGTTCTGAAATCACTCTCTCAGTAAAAAAAAAAGAAGAAAATCCCAAATATAGCACAGCTATGAGCTATGTTGATATTCCAGTAATAAATTAATAAGTAGTTATGTTTAAGTAAACAATAAAACGTTTTCCTGGGGTGAGGCGCGACCACCCCACCCACATGTCCTAGCAACAGACTCAGTTAAGTCACTATTTTTCTTATGGCCACACTTTTCAAGACTCCAGAATGACTTTTTTAAGCTTCTTCCATTCTCCTTCCATGTGTGAAGTAACACAACCCTTTTAAAAAAAATGATTTATTTATGCATACAAGAACTGGGGTACAGGCCAGAGGTGAGGGGGTGACAGGATTCACCAGAGACAGAGTGGGGAAAAGAACAGGCAGACTGACTGAAATACACTGCTGAGGGGAGCAGCAGGCGAGTCAGGAGAGGTCTGCTGCACCATGTGGGTAGCTCCCTGGTGGGGGATCAAACTCATGCTGCAGTGGCTGCGGATAGCTTCATAGGTTTCGTCTTAATCCCTTGCACCACCAGGGAGGCCCAACACAAACTTTTTTTTTTTTTTTTTTTTTTTAAAGATTTATTTATTTATTTATTTTATTTATTTATACAACCACTGGGTACAGTCAGAAGCGTGGGAGGGTGAGAGAATTCACCAGAGGCAGAGCGGGGAGCAGAGCAGGCAGAAGGACCGAAGTACACTGCTGAGGGGAGCAGCGGGCGGCAGGAGAGGTCTGCGCACCATGCGGGACCCTCCTCCGGTGGCCGGGGAGCAGCCAGGGATCGAACCGGCGCTGCAGAGGCTGCGGGCAGCTTCACAACCCAGCGCTTAACCGCTGCGCCACCGGGGAGGCCCCCAACACAAACTTCTGATGAAATGCAGGAAAGTATGGCATGGTCAGACCTGCAGCAGCATCCAGAGGTAAAAGGAATACAGGAGTGGAGACAGGTACCCTGTGGGCCCACAAATACAGCCTATGTGCTCCACCAGCAGGACGGAGAGGGTCTCCTAGCCGCCAGCATCATCATTATCTTCAAATGGGAAGGGTCCTACTTCATAACTACAAGGGGAGTTTTGAAAAGACCCAACTCAAGCATTGATCTCAAAAGTTTTCTGAACTGATATCCTTTGACTTAATGTCAAAAATAGGTTAGGATGACTTTATGTTGTTTTCTGCCCCCAGTGAAATCAGTACCGCATGAAGGAATTTAATGATGTAGGGGTTCAGAATTAATGAATTGTTTTAACATTAAGTGAACACAATAGAACTGAGAGTACCCCAAACTCTCCCTAAGGCAGAATGAAAACTGGGCATAGGGACCCACAGAAGAGAGATCACAAGGGAAAGAGCAGTCTAATCAACATCATGAGACCATCGGGAAATCTCAGAGATCTACACTTTGTGCTCATCCTTCTTTTCCAGCAGGGTAGAAATGGAAGGGTCAAGTATAAGTGAAAGTGGAGGGGTGAAGGGTGTCAAGGGGAAAGAATCAGCATTTATTGAGTCCCAGTAAGTTTAAGGGACCTTCACATACCACATTAACACCTTAAATTTTCCCCACAACCTTATCAGATAGATCATCACCTCTCCAATTTTATTTATTTCATTTTGGTTTTCTTTTTCTCTCTCCAATTTCAAAATGAAACCATTGTCAGAGAGATTTAGTGACTTGCCGAGGAGCACACAGCAGTCAGAATTGAAAGTCAGCTCACCCTGGCTCAGACCATGCTCTTTCTTTCCCACACCTCACCCCTGGGATCTTGCAAGTTACTTTCAGCACAAATAGCAAAGTTCAGGAAAAGGCATCCTAGGTTCCTAAAAAATAAAACAACTTCCCTGGGCCCTAATCTCTTGGGGGAGCAATATCAATGAATATCCAAGAAGTTAGGAGAGGAGAATAAAAAAGGTCAACAAGTCCAATTTTCAAAGACAAAGAAAAAAACAAAAACAGGTGGGTGTTAGGGAGGCTGAATTCCAGAAATGACTCAAGTTGGTGACTATCCACATTCTGCAAGGAATATTCAGCAAGTGGTCTGGATTATGTGGAAGAGGTGAAGCACAGAGCATAACTGAATGAGTCCCTAAGGAAAACATTATGTCCTGTGTGAAGGTAGATAGATGGGCCAGATAGACAGAGACACAGAGTTTCTGGTTCAGCGTGCACTGTGACCTGCCTCCCACAGGATAGAGTTCCCACAGAAGTCATCCAAGGACCTGTCCAATCTCCCAGATCAGAAACCTTCGCAACTATTTCAGTCACACATCCCAATTATAAAAAGCGAGCATGCACCCCTACTACATGTTCATTTATTTTTTTTTTAATAAACACATACTGCTGCCAACTGATCAATATTACTAAAACTTGAGCCCTTAGAGTTTTGAGCAGAAGAGAAACATGTTTGCATATTTCCTTCCCACACCACAAAGGTTTGTTCTCAGAACCACATTGTAAAAATCAGATGCTTGCAACATAGTGACCCCTCAGTTCCCAGTAACCTTCACCTTCACTTGGCCTGCAACACCCCTCCCACCTTGTGAGGTCAACTTGTGTTAGTACCCACTCCCAACACTGATGACAAGTCCTTCATGCCTGAGTGCCGTGTAATCATGTCTGCACATTTTCTCCAAATACACAGGCCCCTCCCCCAGATTCTTCTCGAACCATTTATTACCACTGCTCTGTTCACCCGCAATCTGTGTCTTACCATTGTCATCACCCAGCAAAATCCTCAGTTTGTAACACCAAACTCAATATCCTCTGTACTTAGACAGTTCAGCAGTTCCAGGAAAAGTGGGTGAATACACAGTAACCACATGAACCCTGTTACCACAGAACAAGATACCCTCATCTTTCCCAGATCTTTTAACATGTGGAACGCAGACTTTCTCTGGCCCTCAGTCAGTTTTATTTCCCTTTAGTAACCTCAGAGACTAACCTTCAATCTCATCCATCCATTCAACCATTCTTTCATTCACTCATATGTTAAGGAACCCCCACTACATGCTACGCGCAGACGGGAGTGACTCTCACAGCACTTACATTCTAGTAAACAAACATACTGGCTCCCGGAGATGTGGAAAATTAATCTGTTACATAATAGGGAGCCAGCAGGGACCAGAAAATCCTGGTTATCAGATGTGACCCACTTTGCTTCCTGCCCACTTCTCCCCCTCCCGTTTTTTTAATGAGGTAAAATTCATATAAATTGAATTGCCCTTTAAAGGTACACAATTCCACGGCATACAGTATATTCACAATATAGTGCAACATCACCTGTCTAGTTTTAAAATATTTCTATCACTCCAAAAAGACTCTCCCCAACCCATTAAGCATCCCCCCTCCATTCTCCCTCTCCTCCTAGCCACTGGCAACTGCAAACCAGAACTGTTTTGTCTCTGTGGATTTACCTATTTCTCTATTGATGGCCTCAAACAACCCCACACCCCACTTCAATTCTGACAAGGGCTCTATCCTTCCTAATTTACACACACACGCACACACACACACACATACACACACACACCCCCTTGATCTTCTCCAAGGCCTCCTCTCCTCCTCATGCACTTGTGATCTATCACCTGATGCATCAAAATCTCCCTCTGAGCAGGCATTCTCTCTATCCTTACGAAAAGAAATCAAAAATCCACCTTGACCCTACCTTCCCTTCCCGCAAAACAGCTCCAGCACCCGCCTTCCCTTCTCAGCTTCTGATTCATTCCATGAGGTTTTCAGGTATTTCCATTTTGACAAACACGACAAAAACTTGGGAGGCCTCCCATCACAAGGGGATGGGAGTGGGTGGGGGTGGAAGATCTGACCTTGTGATAGGGGTGACCTTAGGTTATTTTGATTCGTGGAGCCTTGCTTTTACTATCTGCAAAATGGGAAACTCAATTAACACTTACCTCATAGGGTTTTTATGAAAAACAAAAGAGTAAAAC